ATTAAAATTAATAAAAGAAAAAATATTTATATTATTTACTTGTAATAATAAAACATCTTTAATAATAGTGCTTTGATTACCAAAATTAGTTTTATTCTGGTAAACAAAACTAATTTATTGTTATTTATATTTAATAACGTATTATTGTGTTTATTATATCAGTTGAAAATTTTAAAATTTTAATTTAAACTTCTAAACATTGTTAAAAGGTAAGAAAAATTACCAATAAAGTATGTTTTAAAGGATAATAAGCCCAAATTTGAGGGATATTGGAGAATGGGAATACTAAGTATGGCATATACTTAAAGTCATAACAATATGTATAAATAAATGTATATACATTATACATAACAAAAAATCATTTTTATAAGTATTTTGTTTCCAGTGAATATATTTGTTACTTTATTTTTTTACTCTTTGTTGAATTGTATCTATTTTTAAAAAAAATTGTAATTTTTGTGGTAAATTTAATAAGTTAAGAATTTTGATGTAATATATTAATTGATTATTGGAATGTTTAATTCTTGATTCTTAATTTAATGATAAAAATAAAAAAATAAAAAGTATGATAGGAAAACTATAAAATATACAATACTAATTAATTAATTATTATTATGTTGTATTTAGATACATTAAAAAATACAATTATCATTTGAAAACTAACTATTCATTTTTAAATATATAAATATTAAAGTAATTTCATTGACTTATAAATAAAAGATTTATGTATAAAATGTTTGTATACTTGATTATTAAATATTATTGTTTGAAATTATATTTAAATAATTTAAATGTATTATTAATTTAAAAACAGGATTCAAATTATTTTGAAACCTACATATATGATATTAAATGTATATACTTTAAATTTTTGGTTATAATAAGGTGAGTTATGTTAATAATAATTATTGAGTGAAATTAGAACAATTTTTTTTAGATCATGTTTAGAAAAGATGTAATTTCTTAACACATCATTTAGTATAACAATGCTTAAGTATCAATTTTAGACCCCCAGAAATTCTTCTTCGTTTGACGCTCAAAATTCTAGTAGCGTCATAGGCTGAGAGATATAAATTAAACAATCCATTTCATTTAAAATATTGAAAACCAAAAATATTGTTATGAATAACCAAAATTGTATTGTAASTTATAAATAATAATAATATAAAATATTTTTAAGACATTTTATTCAAATATTGATTGTGACAATAATTTAAGTATATTAATGTATTAAAGTAATTATTGTATACAAAAAATAAACATTGAGTAAATTATAATGTACTATTATCACAATTATTTATAGGTTGAATTGCAATACTTTCACAGGTTTATAAGAAAATTGTTTTTTCTACAGAAAACTTTTACTTTTATATTATTCTGCTGCTGCTTATTGTAAAATGTGTTTATAGATTATATGTATTAAAAATAAAAGTTAAAAAATATATATATATTATTCACCTAATGGCTACATATTTTTAAATTATTAAAATTAATTTGGTAAAGTTCTATGGTAATTTTTTTTTTAAGTAATGCACATTACTTAGGTATCTCCAATCTAAATAAATAGTGAAATAGCCAGTAGGTCTTTTGATTTTAATTTTATTGTTTAAAAAGTTATGATTGTAGTTACCAATTGGGTTAGTCTTTAACTATGATTAATATTTATTACTACCTAATGATTATATTATTTATGATTTCAATTATATTTGAAAGTGTAATTGTGTGTATAAAATTTAATTACATATTTTTAGAAATTTCAAGAACCTATCGATGAATAATTTTTTTTAAATTACAATAAAATAATTAAAAATAATTATTATTTGTTTAAATATCTAAAAATTAAATATTATTTTATTTTATTTTACTCAAATTTGAACATATAAATATTTATTTAAAAAAACTCGGTTTGTCAGGTAATATAATTTTTAATGTTTTTGGTTACCTACAGTCTACGCTGAAATACTTGTAAAAACCTTGTTTTAAATTTTCAAGTTCGATAGTTCATAAATTATTGAAAAATGTTTAAATATCGACATGTGCTTAAAAAAAATAAAATAAGAATTGAAAATTTCACATGGCTATAGACAACTCAAAAAAATATTAGAAAACTTTATCATAATATAAAGAAAATAATAATAAAGTATCTACTGTTATTAGTTTTTGAAATACAACACAATATGAAAATCAGTCGTTGAGAAATCATTATTTACGGCATATTTTAATTTTTAATTAAACTTAATTTGACTCCGATAATTTTTTTTTACTATGTAGAATTTCAGAAAAACTTCTGAGTTATGAAGAAATATGTGTTGCATATTTATAAATTAATTTATGGTACCTATCTACGAAAAGAAAAAATTAAAATTAATTTTTATAGCTAGATACAAAACAATTTTTAAGTTTTCACAACTTTAACGAAATTGTCAAAATTTTGTTTCAGACGCTTATGAAAAATGATAGTGAACTTACACTTAATTTTTTTTTCAATTACATTAATAGCAGATTTTTAGAAACTTTGTAATCAATTTTCAAGTTTTTGATCAAACGAAAAATTACTATCAACGATAGAAAATTCCAACAGTCCGGAAAAAAGATACTTTTTTATGTTGTGCAAAATACAAATAAGCTATCTCTAAAACAAATTCTTCTTTTTCTTTTGCGCAAATGGGCGATGCTTATAATATTTGTATTACATTATTTGTATTATTTCATTTAAAAATGAAGACAAACACAAAAAGTCTTCAGAGTTAAACAAATAACATTACTCCTCTCAGAATCTAAAATATTGAAAAAACATATAAATTTTACATCACATGGGTATTTTTAACCAAATAATTCTGTTTACACTTGAAAATTCAATATAATTTTGTTATAGTTAGGTATAATATTCACACATATAGAGGTTTTTGCTATGTGTTTATAAGTTTAAAAAAATTAAATTATTATAAAACGTGTATCATATTGCTTTAAAATTCTGTAGGTTGCTCACTTGGTCGTAGTTAGTAGTTAAGAGTCACCAGTCAACCGTACACTTTCGGTAGTTAAATCTTGTAGTAATATAATATGTCATATAGCCACATAGCCCATATTATATAGRTATGGTTATAAAGAGGACGCTACACCTGCATGTGTTGTCTCCGTCCTACAAGTATGTAACATTGCAAATTTTATGCTCAGCAGATCACGTTAACGTCAACCGGCCTAGCTGGTAATAGGCAAAAAAGATCAAGAAAGAAAATAACAAAGAAAAAAAGAACAATTTTTAAAAATATTTTAATTGATTACCTATTTCAAAAAAAGAAAAATTATTGATATTAAATTATTATTATTATTTATTAAACACTCAAATAATAGCATAAAACGAAAGAGAAGCCCATATAATTATGAATTAATACGAAGAATAGCGATATTTATTTTGTAATTCAATTTATATTATATTATTTATAATATAGGTACCTATATATATATACCTACAGTATATATAGCCAGTATATATAGTACCTACTAATGTTATAGGAACTGCCAACTATTTAGTAATGAAATTTTTCATTGAATTAATTGCTAAAAAAAGTTTCTTTTAAATTATTGAGTATCCAAATATAAAATTTACCCCTTTTATGCAATTAGGTAACAAAATAATATGATACTATATAGTTTGTGACATTATTTTATTATAATATATATTATATTTTATTATAGGTAGTTAGTTACATTTTCCCATTCTATTGATACCCCATAATAATTTTTAAAAACGAATTGTTCTTTTATTCCGGGATTCGGCCTAGCCACATGCAAGTACCTACTTAAATTCTACTCGATAATAAACTCGATCAATCGCAAATCGTAATATTATGTTGTTTAGCGTCAGTGGTGAATATATTAATTGACTACTATACTATTTTTAAATATTTTAAATCAATAGGCAGTTATCTACCTATTATACTTATTAGCGTAGTGGTATACTGAATTAATATTATTACACGATTATTCGTTGTGGATCCTCGTGTTCCCCGGCGACCGTTTTCTGACCGTGTCCGGCGGGCACTCGGCCGGTCGGCCTCCACCAGGCTCCACGCGTCCCACTTTTGCCTCCATGATGCCAACACACGGCACCGCATTATCGCGTTCGTGACAACGTGTACTCGTGTACTGTTACTGTCCCGCGACCCGCAGCCTATCCCAAACACGTAGCGCTAAACCGGACCGGACGCGGCGGCGACACGAATTCATTCACCGTTTCCGATATCTATACACATTGCAGTATTACACAGTTGTACACGTCTTCACTATACATTTTGGGTCCGTCCGCCATCGTCGCCGTTTGAACACGTTTTTCTCGACGTCTGCCAGAATCGATCACCGTCAAAAATGGTGAGCATTTTATTTTGCACCAYGGCCCGACCGACGTTACCGTCGTTGCCAGTTTCCCAGCGCGTCGATTATTTTCTACGTATGTCTCGACCTACATCACTAGCGAGTGGCCATCGATACGAACGCCTTATGCGTTCTATGTGGTTCACGACGCTTTCCGGACTTTGAGCGCGTGGCACTTCTGTGGTCATTTTCCACTCACAGTATACATTTAGTACGTTACTGTTCATAATAATCATGGTAATAAGATTTAGTGGCAAAACGACACCATTTTTGGAAAAGAATACAGTATGCTTACTGATACCTAGTAATTTTGAACCTATAGTAGGATACAGTCTAGAAATTCGCTATACTAGACCAGTGTGATAAAACGCACTGGGAGGTTTTCAGACCATATCATTTACACGGTGCATTATCTCCCGGTGTCGGATAATCTTAAATCTGCGTAGCCTAGCCAAATTCTAGAGTTATATCGGCCATATTTTACCTGTAGCACATCATCTTAAGATTGCATTCACATGATCTGTGTATAAACTACGCATATTCACATTTTTTAAACCCGTATTGAGACATATTATTATAAATAAAAATGCTATTTTAAAAGCTATTGGAAGGTACCGCGTTAATTAATTTATAGTGATAAATATTAAAAAATATATAACTTTGTGTTAGATGTACACCTTATGTCTTATGCATTAAAACATTCCTCTATGAGGTCATCATATTTTTTCAATAACATGCTAAACCAACATGTGTTATTTCTTTATCTAACATGTCATATACAACAAAACAATAATTATGCATTCCGTAAAACMAAATTTGTGTTGTTATCTTTAATATTTAGAGTGTATAATTAACCTATTGTCAAATTTAAAAGTAAAAATATTATTGAGGTCATCTTAATGACTTATTGATATTATAATTTAATCAGACTTAAAAGTAATTAAYGATATTATAATATGCTATATAGGTACTTATATAATAACAAAAATAATATAATATATAGGTAGATAGGTAACCATTAGTCGGTCATCTACCTGCAAAGATAATTGCTATTTAACAACATTGTTTAATTCCGAGGCCTACCCAAGGTGGTTTTACACAGCAAATCAAGGGATATTTTCGATTTGCGCAGCGACCAGTTCCGCAAACTGTGTAATCACTGCCCATACTGCGGCAGTAAATTAGTGGTGTTGCGCGCATGCAAATAAATGTAAATTCGCAAACTTTGGAAGGCTATAACTTCCAAAATAATGGTTTCCGGGAAAAAAAAATACATCATCGTTTTAAGCATAAAAAAACAAGTCGTCTGAAAAAAAAATTGGAAATCGTGAGGGGGTTGGTAAAGTGCATTTGTTCCAAATATTAAAATATCTAAAAAACCAATAAGAGAACACAGGTAATTTACTTACCTAAAAGTTTAATAATATCAAAACTAATAGGTTATTGCCAATTGCCATACTATCTTGAATGAGGAACAGTAATTTAGTATGTCATGTGTAAGACTGAGAAAACACATGCAGGTACAACATCCTTCTAACTGTGCGATTACGATAATTACTTGACTGTAAAAAGTGTAGGTAACAAGTTAAAGAAACTTAACTTTAACGTTTTGGTGAGTTAATTAAAAAGTTTTAAAAAAAAGCTCATTTTTTGTTATTATTATTTTAATAACAATCAGGGCTCGGATTTCAAAATTTTTTTTTTTAACTGTCTATGGCATCTTTATTTAAACGACCAAAAGTCTTTATAAATATAATACATTGTGAGTGAATACAGTATAACAATAGTTATACATAAGTAGTATTATATAATAATAATAATAACTTATATATACATATATAATATATATATATATATATATTATAGAAGAACATGTTTGGGGTTGTACCTCCAATGAGATAGCCCCTTTTCTTAGCCTAAGTTAATTAAACTGAGTCGTATGGCTTCAGGCGTTTGAGGCGCCTAATGTCTTGCGAGTTGTTGAAGAAGTTGTTTAGCAGTTGCATTTGGGTGCAACTCAAGTTTTTTCACATGTTTGTTGGCAAACTTTTTATTTTCGTCCTCTATGGATGGTATATTCAAGTCTCGATGGAAGATTTCATTCCTGTCGAACCGGTATGCTGTGACAACAGTACGAAGGGAAATATTCTGACAGCATTGAATGACTTTGATGTTGGATTTGCTGGCACAGCCCCACAGTTGTATGCCATAAGTCCAGATCGGTTTGACAATAGCTACATATAGAAGCTGTTTGTTTGCCAGGTCTAGTGTGGAATGTCTACCAACTAGCCAGTATAGCTTGCACATTTTTTCTTTTATTTGCAATTTTTTGTCGGACATGATGTTTCCAATTAAGGCGAGAATCAAGGTGCATACCCATTTGGCTGAATATTTTTGTGGGATTGTCATGTGATCCAGCAACACTTGGAGATTTTCGGTTTTACATAGAGTATAATTCACATGTACCGACTTATCACTATTTATCATGATTTTCCATTGCTTTGTCCAGTTAGATATATGATCAATTGAGGTTTGTACGTTTTCAGTCGTAGTCTCGTGATCAATACTTGTTGCTAAAACTGCTGTATTGTCAGAAAATATAGAGGTCATTGAGTCACTATTGGTTGGGATGTCAGCTGTATATAGTAGATAAAGAGTAGGTCCTAGTACACTACCTTGAGGTACTCCGGCAAATATGTTTTTCCAGTTTGTTATTGCTTCTTTGTGCATAACTCGAAACTGTCTTTCAGTCAGATAAGATTCTAGAAGTGCATACCAGGTATGTGGTAGTTGTTCTCGTAGTTTTGTTAGTAGTCCTGGATTTCAAAATGTGCAAATTTTTTCTGGAATGCTTGACATGATACTTTCTAAAATAAAAATGTCTTTCAAGTACTGACTGTGCTAAAATCAAAAAAAGTTTGGTATTTGTAAGATTTTTAATGTTTTAATTGCATTTTTAATCGTTTTTAGGGCATAATTTATTTTTATAATACACATAGTTTGTATATAAATGATCATATTGTACTATAATAACAATAAGATAATTTGGTTTTTAAGTAAAACGATAAACAAATATTTTTTTAAGAAATTCCTTGTAATGTTTTAGAGTTTTTAGGTAATCATACATTTTTTGAAAGTCCATTTTTTCGCATATTTATAAGTGCATTTAAATCAGATATTGATTTTTCCGCCCTTTAGTTTGTACAAGCCAATGCAGCCTGAAAAAACATTTCACACCAAAATTATGCAGCACTTTCTTAATGATAAATCATATTTTTTACTAAATAATAATTATTATATATCTACTGTATTTTAATTTCTTTAATACATAAATTAATATTTCTAAAAATGGACAAAAAATAACTATGTTATGACTTATAAACAAATTGATAAATATTTAATATTATATAAAATAAAGGGTTAATAGATAATTAACAGCATGTTTTATTTTTCAGCCTGTAAATCCAAGTGCAATGCAATCAACCAATAATGGTCCCAGGTCACCATCTAAACCAGGCGCATCTAGGACAGCCGGAAATGTGCTTAGACAGCGGTAATAATCAATCTTATATTTATCAAATCAGTTTTAATTATTAAGTTACTTATTATTTTATTTTTTTAGCTTACTTTTAATTAAAATAATTTTCTAAATTCATGACAGGTCAAAACATAAACTTTTAAATATATATATATATTTGTCATTTACTTATTCCTGTAAATTATATTTCATTGTTAAATTATTTTATTTTATAGTAAAACTACTGCACCCACTACATCAGTTAGAAACCGTAATACTGGAACTAGCAGTGGAGGTATGTGGCGTTTCTACACAGACGACTCACCTGGAATTAAAGTGTAAGCATTTTCCTAAATTTTTTTTAAATACACACCATTTGTTAAATGACCATTATATTTTATTTATTTGTTTATTTTAATTCATAGTCTTGATACTAGTTTAATTCTTGTAATTGATCTTAAGAGGACGCTACACCCACATACGTTGTCTCCGTCTTACAAGTGCGTAACATAACAAATTTTATGCTCAGCAGATCACGTTTAGCTCCATTAGTTTAAAATTTAGAGTAAATCGACCTCTTGCAAAAATTAAAGGTAACATTATTGTCGAGGGCATGACGTAGGCTTTTTATTATACTTTAATTTTAAAGTGAGTTATGTGTATTTTAAGATATACAAGCAATTTACAATTTTAAAATACTCACTTTAAAATTAAAATATAATACAAAGCCTACGTCATGCCCTCGATAATAATGTTACCTTTAATTTTTGTAAGAGGTCATTTTACTCTAAATTTTAAACTAACGGAGCTAAACGTGATCTGCTGAGCATAAAATTGGCTATGTTACGCACTTGTAAGACAGAGACAACATATGCGGGTGTAGCGTCCTCTTAATAAAAATCTTAATGTATAATGCATTTATATTTTTTATAATATACATTTTATTTAAATGTTAATGTTAACTTTATAATGTATAAAATATATGTAATATTGATTTAATGTGTTTTTTGTTTATTTTTCAGAGGACCCGTGCCCGTGTTAGTGATGTCTTTGTTGTTCATTGCCTCCGTTTTTATGTTGCATATTTGGGGAAAATATAATAGAGCTTAATTTCTTTGTTTAATTTATTTTGTATATAATTTATCTTAAGATCATTCCCAATTTTTTTTATAATAATTATTGAATTCTATACGGCAATATTTACTAAAGCATTATATTATTGGTTAAACAAAATTAAAAATCATTCAATAAGATTTTATCAATAAAAAGTTTTTATTTTTCTTATAGGTTTTTTTATCTAAAATATTATAGTTAATAATTGGGGAGAACAAAAAGTAAGTGCTGGCTATTTAGTGCTGTGACATGTTCTACTTAATTCATAGTAACCATTGGTTCTTAGTATTTTACCTCTTCCTTCCTTCCCTCTACGTTAATTTATGATTAGAATTAAAAAATTTTGGTGAATGCAGTACTTACTTATTTTTTGAGCTCGTGGCTTTAATAAAGTATTTATGTACAATAGAAGTGGTTCTCAACAGATTTTTTGCATATTAGCTTGATATGTGTCACAAAAAAAAAAAATTTCAATGTATAAATATATGCAACTATTTAGGCATGTTTCCACTATACACTTGTGCCGTGTACACCTGAAATGTTCAGCCATGTCCAACAACACGGTAATCTGGTTAATCATGTGGTAACCTAACCTAACCAACCAATTTAAGCAAAAGATTTATGTGAACGTGTGTAGTGGAAACCTGCCTTTGTAATGTTTTAAACTTTAAAGTGATGGTAAAAATTACAAAATCTGATTTAAAAAAAATTCCATTTGTGAAAATAGTCTCATTCTCAATTTACAAAAGGTTTATAATTGTTTGTTTTTAACAAAAATCAATTAATTATTTTAAGTGTGTCTCCATTTTATGGATCTAATTAGGGTGTCATCCTAAAACAATGTTAAGATATACTCTTCTATAATGTAACAATGTGAATCAAATGCCATGGTACATCATATTCATAAAATAGTCCATTTGTTATTTTAATAAATCAATTTTTAAAAATTACTTATTAGTATCAAAAGTTGATAATCAAGTATGAATGAGTATTATAAGTTATGCTGATTTGATTATCACAAGCATTGGGTGAAAGTAGCCTTAATTTTGAATCAAAGGTTTATTTCTTACACATACGCTTTCAGATTAGCAGCCTAAACATAACTACCACGGTTTACTTCAATAGCATCGTCAAAACTGTTACAAAAATGAACATATTTTTTTAGGTACCTACACTTAAATGAGATAGTATAAAAATATTCAGTTAATTAATAACATTACTAATATTGTATTTATTTAATGATTTTAATGTTTGTTCATTATTTTTGCTTAATCTTGATCAAATTAAAAATGTATAATCATCTAATAAACCTAAAAGTAAAAATATTGCTTCATAAAAAAACAAAAAAATCATCAAAACCATAATTTATACTATTTATTTATCCAAAGTCTTTTTTATTGGTTCATCATTATTTTTTTAATTATTTGAATAAGTTCATGATTTGATGACATCATATTCTCCAGAGCTGTTAGAATAGAATTTTTCTAAAACAAAAATGTATTGTATTTATATAAAATTATGATAAACTTATAAGCACCAAATAAATTGTTAATTATCAAGTAGCCTATTTCCAAAACTGATTATATATCTGAAATACTTATTTTTAAACTGGTTAAAGGCATTTGCTTATAATTCACATAACTACAAAATATCTTTAAAAATTATATAGCAATTAAAAAAGAAATTGAATGTTACATCCAACCATGAATACATTTTAGACGTTATATTAGTTTAGTATTATATTTTACACGTTTTAAACAGTTTTTTCAAATTTTCCCAAAATTTAAAAACGCAAGTGACTTATCTGTTTTGGAAATAGCCAAATAAATATGCTTTCTCAAATTCTCTATCAGTTACCTAGGAAGGAACACTATATAATTTGATAATAAATGTAACTACAATAATATCTATGATTTTGAAAATAGTTAGTGCTTGACATTAAAATTAATTATAGTCATTAGTAATTTAAAACATTATCTACTTGAAGAAATGACGGCGAAGGCATGTTGCTGATGTGAAAACATCTAACCAAACCATTTACATCACCAGTGATAATATTCTAAAACTCACAATATCATTACTTTGCAATGTGATTCATTCATGAGTGTTCGAATAATCGAATAATACTCACATTACCGTGTTTGGAAAATTTCACCAGAGAGAAATGTACGCCAATCTGGCATGTAAACATCATGACCGGCTCAACCGTTTTTCTTGCAAAATCCCAAATACATATCACTGCGCCGCTAACGCTGACAATAACCGTAGAGTTTATAGGTGACCAATCGGCGTCGTCTACAGCATTCTGAAAAGTATTCAAAAACAGAGGTTCTATATTGCGTAGATTTAACGGTGCGATAAATATATTGTTATTACAACTAAGTGTTTTTTCGTGTCTAATATCACCTTTTACAAACAACCAAAACAAAAATTAATCTGTGATTCAAATATAACATTGTTATCGAACAATATTAAATACAAAAGAAAACAATATACAAGAAAATTGTGATACAAAAACTGTACCAAATTGTATTGACATATTATGGCAGCAAGTAATTATGATAATAATAAAAAAAAATTATCTATATTAATATTATAAAGAGGAAAAATTTGATTGTTTAGGTATATTGAATAGGCTCCGAAACTACAGAACCAATTTTAATGAAATTTGGTACCTACATGGATTGTTTAGATACTGAGAAAAAACATAGGCTAATTTTTAATACTAAAAAAGGGCTGTAAGGGGCCGAAATGAGGGATGGTATACAGGGTGATTTTT